TACATACATACATACATACATACATACATACATACATACATACATACATACATACATACATACATACATACATACATACATACATACATACATAAATGTGTGTGTGTGTGTGTATATATATATATGTAGGGGCAGAATCAAACGAGAAGGCGTACATTTTGCGAGAAGGGATCCTGAGAAAGTTCAAAATGCAACAAATTAGGGGTTTGGGAGGTTTAAAAACATTGCAGCGAGCCTTTAATTCTTGAGAAGGGGGACGTAAGTTGTGATAGTGAAAGAACTCTCTTAGATGAGTTACTGAAGGAGGAGATGAGTAATCTTTTAAAAATGACTTTTTTTTATCTTTTGAGTTTATGAATCAGATCCATATATAATTTTTACCCTAATGGTTTTCCAAATAATCATATGGTGGTACTGAGGGAGGTGATATATGATCGGAATAGGACAAACCCATATTGTTCTGTATGACTTGTTGTGGTCGTGATATATAATGGATTTGATAATATTATCAAATGTAATGCATAATGGATTTAATAATATAATCATATGTGAAAATACAAAAAGGATACATGATTTGTATAGAAACATACGATGCTACTTGTTTTGATAACATTTGGGGTTTTCGTATGACAAGTTAGTAAATGTTGATGTCTCTTCCCAATGATTTAATATAAATGATACACTATTATTATTTGTATGAATTAACATAAATGATACACTATTAACTACCGTGCAATCTCTATAAACTTGTGACGGGGTTCACAAGTGTGCTGATGAAAACAAATGAGACCCCGTAAACTTTGAAACAATCGAAGCATACCACGCTGACAGTAAGGATACGTGCAGTACACCTGGAAATTCATGGTCTATGACGTCCAATAAGGAACATGGCAATAGACAGAAGAAAGTAGAACAAAGAGGAAGCAATATGTAATAGTACCACATGCAAGGGAGAAACAACATCAACCCAATACGTTACAGTTATTTTGAATCTTAGGATACTTTTTTTTTTATCAAATGGTTCACACCGGAAATTTTGGAACCATATGCTAGGGTTATTTTCGATATTGCAACAACTTTTGAATATTATGGGTTTGTTTTATTAAGTAATATGAATACTTGGTTATTGCATAGATTATCAGTAGCATATTATGTTGAATTATTGCATTTACTATGGTATGCTATGTTAAGTAATCATATATGATTGGCAACATGTAATGTATGTGACTAAAAAGAACCGTCACATATGATTACGTATATGAGTCACATGATTTACATAGGATATGAAAATCAATATATATATATATATATGTGTGTGTGTGTGTGTGTGTGTGCGCGCGCTTAAGTACATGAATCACATGTCATTGAACAAAAAGATTGCATATGTGATTAAAAGATTAATCACATATGATCTCCAATCTACAAACATATAATTTTTATAAGAAAACAATCACATGTGATTAAGTACAGGAATCACATGTCATTAAACACAAGGTACTTATCAGATCGAATGTACTTACGCAATGGATCGATTTTTCCATATTTAAACTGATACCAATCCAATCAATTTAATGAAAAAAACGTGCCCAATTATCTAACAAAAATAACTATTTGTTACAATAACATCTTGTTGCATCGGAACATGAAATATTGACTTATCTTGCTAACATTGAACTAGGGAAAATGGCAACTAAAAAATCTTCCTATTACGTTTCGCCGGAATGCACAACCACCATTGGTATTCATTCCTCTGTGCGGGCCAGTGGCATGGCAAATGAACTTAACGTAATACCATCTACCGCATTGGGGGTTATGTGTACTAAACACCAAGGTTTTTACTAATAATATCTTCAGAATCTGACTCAAATATTTGACGATCTTCGTGAGTTGATGACATTATTTTCCTAGAGAAAACAAATAAACGTGGAGCATA